ATTAGAGATTTGTGGCATCATATACAATCTTTTTCTGTTCTTATATAGAAATGCTTGTGTTTGTTGGTATTTGCCAAATTCAGACTAACAAAAAATATTTTTTAAGAAAAAAGATGCTCTACGTTAGGTGCCTCCACTTTTCTTCTCATGCTCTTCATAATCCCCTGAAATATGGCTTCTGATCTTATCACTTATCTGAAACTGCTCTCTCCAAAGTTAGCAATCTTCTAATTGCCAAATCCAATGTCCTGTTCTCCATCCTTGACCTTGCTGTAGCATTTGACATTATTGGCAATCTTTTCCTCATTCCCCTTTGTCTCTGGGTTTTCATGACATTACTCTCTCCTGGTTCTCCTCTTATCTAATAGCTCTTTTGCTGGGTCATTATCCACGTCACACCCTACTGTGGGTGTACTCCAAAGCTCTGTCCTGGACCCTCTTATCTTTTCTACCATCTCTTACTCAGTGACTTCATCAGCTCTCATGGTGACTCATACTATAATACCCAGCTCTAGTTTCCCTCCTAAGCTCCAATCCAGTATAATCCACTGCCTTTTGGATATTTCAAATTCAGCATGTCCAAAGTAGAACTCACTATATTTTCTCCAAAACCCATCCTTCCTCTGAACTTCCTATTTCTCATCAGAGTACTGCCATCCTTCTAATCATCCAGCTTTTAAACCTTCATATCATCCTTGATTCCTTATTCTCAATCCTCATATCCATTCAGTTACCAAATCTCGACATTTCGACCTCTACAACATCTCCCACACCTGTCCCTTCCTCTCCACTCACCACCCTAGTACAGGTCTTCATCATCTTGTGTCTACTCTATTGAAATAGCTTCCTAATCAGTCTCTCTGTCTTGTCTTTCTCCATTCCACTCCACCCCATCCTCCACAAAGCTGCCAAAGTGATTTTCCTAAAGCACAGATCTAACCATGTCACCCCCTTACTCAATAAACTCCAAATGCTCCCTATTATTTGATCCTCAGGATCAATATACACCTCTGTGTTTGGTATTTTAGAAGTTCGGCACACCCTAAATTGGTCCTTCCTTTCCAGCCTTATTGTACATCACTCACTTCTACAAACTTTATGGTCCAGCCATATTGGCTGCTACTGACACATGACGCTACTTCCCATTGCCTTTGTACTACTTGTCCCCCATTCTTGGAATGCTATCCTTTCTCCCCTCTGCCTCTTCAAATCTTTGGTTCCCTTTTAAACCTGGAGTATACTCTCCCTCAAATGCACACAATGTCAGTGCAAATAGCGAGGATACAGAATATACTGGTTGTAAGGCATACACATGGGGAACATATCCTGCCAGCCCAGCTCATGCCTCTGGCCTTGCAGAGCCCCCACGGCCATTCTCTTGGGCCCATCTTTAGGCAGCCACTGGTAAGCTGCTTTCTAATTTCATTGTTTACTTGGAAGAACTTCACTCCTCCTAAGGGAGTAACAAAGAGTATAGAATCTTAGCACTTGATTGTCTCTCTTCTCCTTTCCTTTCTGTAATCATATCACTTGGGCTAGGGGGAAATAAATTAATCCAGGATTTCTTGATCAACTGTCACAACATCTATATAAATATGTATTTCCTTCATTAGAATGTAAGTTATCTGAAGGCAAGGACTGTTTCAATTTTATCTTTGTATCCTTAGTGCCTAGCACAATACCTGACATGCAGTGGGCACTTAATAAATGTTTGTTGATTGAAGAATACCTATTGTCCATCCTACGGTTTTCAATTGGATAGGCAGCCCATTTTTTGGGTACATCTGTACATTTCTCTTGGACTGACACTGCAAATGGGCATAAACTGGACACAGAATTCAAGAGAAAGAAGTAGTCTGAATTGTTCTACTCCTCAACCTTCTGAGCCATTAGGGACTGCCAGGCTTCCATGAAGTAGCCAGAGCAGTCACATGGCTAGTGTTACTGCAGCCTTAGACTCTATCAGCCAGGGACTCTGGCTGTCAGAGACCAGCCTACAGAGGTGAACAAGATCCTGGAGCAGAGATGAGGGCTGGAGGGTGAGAAGTCTTCAACTAGTCTTAAAACTAGTAGCTATTGAGAATCCTGTTGGTCAGTGAGGGAGGCAGGACTACTTTCTTTCACCAATCTACTTTCTCTTGGAATAGTCCTTGATCCAGACTTGGCATCCCAGACCACCCCCTTATCCCCGCCCCACTCACACACACACACACACCTTTTCTAATCCCTTTCCTTGGTCTGCAGGCATGTATGGTTCCAGAATTCTCTGACCACACCCAAAGAACTGAGAGGGTATGAATGAGGAAGTTTGGGGAGATAGCTGGAATGGGTAGGTCTTATATAGGATAGATTAACCTTTTCACCTTCACCATATTCAATAAACGATGTGGTTACAGTACGTGAAGTGTCTGAGCCCTGTAAATGTGTGGGGTCATGACCATAGGGAAATAATCCCGATCTAAGGTGGGGTTGGAGGTTCTGCATTTCATGTTCATGTTTCTGAGGACTATGTAGATTTCAATTCAGCCACTAGCAGCCACAAACCACGGTGCTAGGGGATGAGCCTGTGTTTGCAGGATGAGTACCCTCTGGTGGTCAGAGAGGATAATGTAGCCTTTTGGGAGGTTATCCCAAACATGAGCCAGAGAATAACTCAGATGATATTATACTCCCGAGCTGAATTTAAATATGCAATTACATATTATTATCCTGTAGGTTTAAAAGATTCAGCTCATAAGCCAATGTGGACTGCTGCCCACTATTGGTATTATATATAATGCTATTCTATTGCCCTTTTAAAATCTATTCTATTCCTTTTTCAGAAATAGCTTTCTAGGATTTTTCTAGTCACTAATCTCATCCTACCAAATGTCAGTGATAGCTTTAATTTACTTAATTTGAGCCACAGCTCAAATTTACTTCCTTATATTGAGGTATCTAGTTTAGCCTCTTTATAGCTCACTTTGTGAGCTGTATTATACACTGTGTATTGAATATAGATATCTGATGATCTTTACTACTGATTCTCTTCTTAGATACTGTCTGCTGTTGACTACTGTTTTCTCTCGTATGCTATTCTTCTTCCTGTACTGTATTTACTGCTTTCAATGGTAGCAAGCTTCTCAACTCTATGAGGGCAACTTTCTTCCTGTGACCACTTTTCAGTTTAAGATTTTTTTTGTCAGACTTATAAAACTCCTAGTGAATATATTTACTGGTCCTCAGGTGTACTCCATCTTTGGCCAGAAGCCTGTTATTCCTATATTTTAATCTATGGTCCAGAAATTCAAATCCAATTTTCCTATACCATCTTTTTAACCAGCTATTCACTTCCTAAATCTGCCTCTCTCTTCTGAAATCCTACCTTCAGTTGGTAGTTGAAAAATACTACAAGTGTTCCTAAAGTCTTTAATATTTTGCCTAGGACCACACAATAACTAGTGCAGCAATTCCTTTGACCTCAGTCTCCAGGTACATATCCTTCTTTTCTTTTCTTTCTTTTTAAAGTGAGGCAATTGGGGTTAAGTGACTTGCCCGGAGTCACACAGCTACACGGCTAGTAAGTATTAAGTGTCTGGTCTGAGACTGGATTTGAACTCAGGTCCTCCTGATTCCAGGGCCAGTGCTCTATCCACTGCCCCATCTAGCTGCCCTTACATATCCTTCTTGAGATTCTAGAGGTACCCCTGAGCAGTTGGAGTATCGTTTTCTAATGCTATTGGCCTACAGCCCCCATTCCCATGGGTTTCCTCTCTTTTACATGTCTGGATTAACACCCAGTTCCGTTTCATCAATTAACATTAATTGAAAGAGATATTTTCTTCTAAGATCATCTTATCTATCTAGCAGTGCCAACATTTCCCCCAACACCTGGGGGGCACCCTCTGCCATCATCTTGGTCTCTCGGGGAATGGGCCCAGACTTGACACAGTATTGGTCCCACTAAGTTCAAATCCAAATGTAGCATTGTTGCTGGATGATTCCATATCTGAATCAGGGCTGGGCTGAGTCCCAAAGGTCACTCTTTTCCTTGCTCCTGGGGACCTCAGTGCTGGACTGGCTGACTGCAAAACCAAGTGTAGATTATACTCCTGTACCTCCTATGGCTCTCCTTCCTGGCCTTTTGGAGGTATGTTCCCAGAGCATCTGAGAAATCTTATCTGTCAAATGAGCTGAAGAAGGAAATGGCAAGCCACGCCAGTATCGTTGCCAAGAAAACCCTAAGAGATGGACACAACTGAAAAAGCCTGAACATCCCAAACCATCTCCTCAACCCTTTCAAATTGCTTTGATTTTATTCCACTCTTTATAAAAGAAAAACGTTGGTGTGATTAATTCTGGTGTGGGTAGAGGTTAGGGAAGAGGTTTGGATCTCTAGAGGATAGGAGACAGCTGTTTCAGAAAGACTGAGGTATGTATGTGTGTGGAGGGGGGAGGTGAGGAAAGGCAGACACTGACTAAACACAATGGAGGCATATTTAGATCATACCCTTGGCCCCAGTACATGTTTCCATAAAGCAGAGAATATGTGTGCGTGTGTGTGTATATATATGCACATACACATGTATGCATGTATATATGTATATGTATACACATATATGTAGAATCATTCTCTGCTTTATAGAAACTATACTAAATAACTTTATAGAGGTATGAATTTCTGTAGAAGCATATATATACTATATACTATATGTGTGTATGAATGTATTATATATATATGTGTGCCTATATGTATATATATATATAGGCTTCTACACAGAGATCCAAACCTCTCCCTTAACCTTTGACCCACACCAGAAATATATATGTGTGTATATATGTATACAAATACATATTGGTTAGTTGTCCTTCATTCTCAAAGAAGACCAAAATGACATCACTATGTTACAGTCAAGTTACAGTGTGTCCAACTGTGACTGATCAGACCAATACAGGCTGGAGCGGGGCATGTTCTACCACACATTAGGCACAAATAATTTATGTGAACATTTGAGGTGGATTCTCTACATTTGCACATCTTGTGTTTCTTTTGAACTACTTCAGTTCTGCTTTGCTCATAAAGCATAGCACCTTCTCTCAGGAGGGCATACCATGCTGGGTGGTCCTGTACCAGTGTTTCCCATGTCACACAATCAATTCCAGAGGTCTTAAAGGAGACACTGGGAGTGTCCTGGTATCACTTCTTCGGACCACCATGAGAACGCTTGCCCCCTGTGAGTTCTCCATAACCTCTCCCTTAACCTTTGCCCACATCAGAAATACACACACACACACAGAGTGTGCATATACATGGATACACACATATGAATATACATGTAAATATATACTACGTATGTTGTGTATTTCTTAGTAAATTACACCCTAAGGCAAAAACAAACAAACAAAAAACCAAGCCCTGACCGCTTGGAATGCCTTGGTAGGGGGAAGCAGTCAGCCCCCCAGCTTACTGCTTGCAAGTAGTACCATGCCAGGGGGAGACCACACAATTTCCACGTCTTCTTTATTAAGTGGGAGCCTCTCTGTTACCTCTTGACAGTAGCAAGAATAAGATCACTGGAGTGAATGAGAAATGATCAGGTGAATATCAGTAAAGGAAAGAGAGGTCCCCCTTTCTATGAATTTGGCTGAGAAAGGCAGGATCGATTTAAGAGAGTGGCTTGCGGGAATGTTAGGGTCCAATGAAGCCTTTTTTAAGGAGGGCAGCTGGGAAGGAGCCAGTGACTGGAGGAGGGGGGAGGGAAGATCTGAGACAAGGTGATGAAATGCACTAGTCGAAAGTCGCCCGGTGCCAAACGCAATACTTTGACCGGCTGTGCACGGGGCAGAGAAAGGCGCTGGATCCAGACAGAGGAAGTGACCTTCTATGGGGCACTGAATGCCCATCACACGCAGCCCCGGGGAAAGAAAACAGCCTCAGACAGGCCTGCAGCAGCCCAGGAACCAGGGCAGCGGCTCGCAGCCAGAACCTACGTCAGCCAACCACGAAGGGCGGCGCAACAATGGGGCACCTGACAGCCAATCCTCGGCGAGCTCTCGGCCCCAGCTCGTCTCCGTCCAATGAGGTGCCAAAACGGCATGATCCTGCGCGATCGTCGCCCGCCTAGATTCCTGGCTGTCTTTTTGGCAGTTTGCTGTTGATTACTCCCGCAAAGAGTTTGAGAGCGGGGTCGAAGGGCAGGGCTTCGAGAGCGGCCCTATAAAAGCTGGGGCCGGCCTCCCATAACTCCTGCCCGGTCGCCTTTCTCCACCTTTGGCCTCCGGACCTAGGCCGGCGCATAGTCCCTTTTGCGATCACGCCTGCGCAGAATGGGAGGGGGTTTGGTAGGGTGTGTGGAGGCGTGCCGGTAGACTCCCTTCCGGAGGGCCCTGCCGAGCCGCGCCTGCGCAGAGGTGCCTGATCTCTTCCGCAGAAATGCAGTCCCTACTGTTCCTGTGCGCTGTGCAGGTGACCCGACACCATACTCTGGCGTGCTGGGCTCTGGCCTCCCTGCCTCGGGAGCTGTACCCGGCCTTATTCCAGGCCGCCTTCATGTATGGCAGAACGCTGGTGCTGCAGGCACTGGTGCAGACGTGGCCCTACCCATGCCTCAGCTTCCGGCAGCTGCTGCCCAAGCCCAAGCAGCTAGGCTGGCCCGAGCGGCCCCGCAAGGAGAGTGTGCAAGCCGTGATCCTGGCGCTGCTCGCAGCGCCGCGCAGGTAAGCCAAGCGGGGGCAAGGCGCTGGCATGGGGAAAGGGTGTGTTCTTTTGGGGCCCCTCCTATTCCAAGATGCTGTTCAAAGAGCCCTGTAAATTTCTGTCTAGTAGAGACGGGTGGCAGGCATGCATAAACACACCAGAAAGCCTGCTCTCTAGGGTCCGGAAAGGCCAGGTCAGTGGGCTCTGTACACAAAAAGAGATTGCTGAATGAATGAACGAGTGGGACAAGAGGGATGCAATTTTGAAATTGCCTGGCACAGACGTCTTGTGCTAGCCCCTGGAGCCCTCCGTTTCAGACTCTGAAGGGCCAGGGTGTGATTTTGGGCTGCCCAATGGGGAATCACTTTTGCCAAGTATTTGTTGGTTGGGAAGCTTTTTACAAGCCTCTAATAATCTGGCTGGGGGGAGAACTGAGGTATTTCTGAGCATATTGTTTAAGAAGCTTGTCATTCCTGAGGCTGGGCTCATTCTTAACACATCTATTTGTGCTTTCCCAGCAGGGAATCTAGCAGCAGGTAGGTCCCTGGCCACATCCCTTTATCATGGGGTAGGCAAAGAAAAGGAGCCTGACCTGGAACTGCCAAACTAGGGACTGAACCAAGGCAGTTGGAGCCTGGAGCCTCAACCTGGAACCTCAACATCTTCCTCAAGGGCATCTATTCATCTCTTTTATTTGTCAAGGTCTTCTGGTTTGGAGAGGAAGTGAGGAATATCTGACTTCCGTTCCCTTCCAGCTCTATAAGTATAATAATTAGCATTTTATGGAGCTTTAAGGTTTGAAAAGCACTTTACATACGTTAACTCATTTGATCCTCACAACAACCCTGTAAAGTAGGTGTTATTATTATCCCCATTTTTACAGATGAGGAAACTTAGGCAGGTAGAAATTAAGTTGACTGGAACAGGGTCACAAGGCTAGTAAGTATCTGGGGCATGATTAAAACCCAGATCTTCCTGATTCCAAGTTCTGAACTCCCTTCCCCAAAGACATAACAATCCATCTATAACTTAACATATGATGTGACGGATTAACTTTAGATGACAGTCTGGAAACAGGGTCCAGTTAGGTTGTAAGAGTCCATGGAGGCCAGTGGTAATAAAGGCCTAGACTTGGGTGGTGACAGTGGTTATGGAGGGGGGTAGAGATTTTGCAGAAATAGAAACACTTAGGACCTGACAACTAATTACATGAGGAGTTGGGGAACTGGAGAGCAACACCATGGATTCACTGACAAAGGAATTTATTGGTTATTTATGCTGCCCTTGGGATGACTGAGGAGTGTCCACATTTCCTTATTTGGTTAAACTTTGTCTTTACTTCTGAGGCTTGGCTGGTTTTCACATACCTTCTTGGGATCTGGCTGTCAGGGTGGGGATGGAGAAAACTTTAAGGAAAGGAAAAAGGTAAGACTAAAACGGGTGGGGACCCTTGGCCTCAAGGCCACCAGTGGCCGCCTAGGTCCTTTTATTAAGGGGATTTGTTCTGTGAAGTTTGGGTCAGGTCAAAGGGCCAAACTTGGGGACCTAGAGGGCTACATGTGGCCTCGAGGCCACAGATTCCCCACCCGTTTTAGTCTTACC